TTCATAAAAGTATCAANGTTTCAAAGTTTTTGAAAATACTGTATTGGTTTTGTGTAACGAAATTTCGTGCTTAAGTGAAAAGATCTGTAAAATATGAATAATGTCTTACTGGAATTTAAATTACATATTACTCCTGCTAAAAACGACATAAAATATATAATGTTTTAAGCTTTCGTTCAAACTCCTTAGGTTTAAGTATCAAATTGTATAATTTTTTAAGTTTCTAAGAATAATACCAGGTGACTGGGGTTTACTCCGAAAGTGTTGCGATACGAGAAAACTATTTGTGACGAATTTAAAATGTTTATTTTTTAATAATAAATTTCGTATGACGCATTTATGCCTAAACAAATTTCATCAATCTCTCTCAATCTAAATGAGACACACCCCTTTCTAATAGTAACAATGTAACTTCCTAGAAAAGCATTTTGTACAATGATTTACTATGATTTTTGTTAGACTGAATGACAAAGACTGTTATAAATGATTGAAATTGCTCCATTACTTTTGTGTTCGGGTGGTACAAAATATTTCAGAGGGGATGTACTTCCTTCCGCCACGAACCACGTGAGGGGCAACTACCAATAGCGACTAACTACTAAAAATAACTGCTGTCCAATGTATGATTGCGGAAGACCAAAAATGTACTTACGAAATGATACAGAGAAAGTACAGATTGGAACTTCTGCAGTTGCAGACATTCTGCATAAGGAGTAACTCGTATAGAACGTCTGCAACTGTTTAAAAAAAAGTAGTATCTCGACGGGTCGACGGATTTCCAAAAGTCAGAGCGTGTCGGTCTCTAAGAAGACTCTGGAAATGTTAAACCGAGATGGACACCAGATTATTTCCAAGATTGTCACGGGTCAGAAGACGTACGTACCGTTTTATGACTGTCTCACGTGTCAAGAAAGTCAGATATGGATCCATAAAGGTGATCCAATTCCAACAACTGTGAAAAGGCAGAGCAATAAAAAGTCACATTTGCTGTTTTTTTTTCAGTAGCACTAATCTGGCAAAAGCAATTAAGCTTCATGAACAGAAGACAGTAATGGCTAATTGCTACACTACAGTCTGTCTTCTTGGAATTCTGGAGTGAGTGAAAATTTGAGATCAAATTTTGCATGGTGATAATCCTTCATCACACACTGCCAAGAAAACTAATGATTTCCTTCGAGTTAATAACATAAGAATCATTCGGCATCCTCAATATTCACCAGATTTGGTGTTGTGTGACTTCTGACTATTTCTTAATTTCAAAAAACATTTGAGGAGTCACAATTTAACACAGTGGATGAAATTGAAGCTTCGTTAACAGAGTATTTTGATAGCATTCCAGAAAATGAGTGGCGTCGCACTTTTGATCTTTGGAAGGAGAAACTGTGTAAGTACTTTTGGCCAGAGGAGAGTACTTTCAACATAAATAAAAAATATTTTGTTTCAGGCCTTATAGTATTCCTGTATTGCAAAATTCTCCTGTATATTGTGAAAAGACACAGTAATTGAAGATACCACCTCAAGCAGAGAACAAGAGAAATTATCATTTTTTGCAAAACAAAAAAAAATTTATGAAAACGAATTAAATAAATTATAAATCACATGCTTTGTTTTTGTGTGAAACAATTTTCTTAATACTCCTGTAGCAATAAACACTTTTAGCCAACAGATGAGGGGCATCGGCCCAAAATGCATATTGACATAATTGGTTTAAAATTGAGTGTAAAGCACATAGGAGAATAAAGTACATGTGTAAAAGTCTAGTGTCTAATATCAACAGTTCATGGTATTTTAAAAAAACAATCTAAAAAAATGGCACAATTTCAACACAGAAAAAAGAAAAAAAATTATATGCTTTGTAAGAATGTGTAAATTGTACAGATTTGTAAGGTAGTTTATTAGATCCAAAGAGTGTTACAGACATTACTGTATTTATATATGTGAACGGGTGATGTTTGAGACATATCTGAGGGAACAGAAATATGTATCCCTGTTGTATTTTGGAGAATATTACTCAATTAGAATTACTTTGATTATCTATTCTACCTAACTGAGGGCATGTGATATGCATTATTATTATTTTAAAGAAACAAAAGTGATTGCTTTGGTATCAAGGGGATGTTACAGTACCACAGACATCCCATTGGATATATAATACATCCCACTTGCTAAACAGATATGTGTAGTCTTAATGGTGTGCAATGCCTTCTTCGGAGTGGCATACAATTGTAGATGGCATTGACAAAAAATAAGAGATTGTTGGTAGGTCTGTAAGTACGGGTATCCTTAGTACAACATGGCACTTCTACAACATGGTTTCGCTCTAACAGTTGGAAAATTGGCAATATCAACTCATGAAACACTGTTTCCGGTTTTGCTCTAACACGGTTTGAGAATTTGGGAAATCCTCCTAACAAAGTTTCATAACTTTTAAGTGTAAACTACTTTATTCTATATTTTTTTATTCGAGCAAGCATTCGTGTTATCTTAAATTTTGCCATGGATTTTAGAACATTAAAATTTTCTATTTGTTTTGTGCCTTTCTTCAGGTTTAATGAAAAGTGATAGTATAATTTTTTTCTTTCTTGTCCTAGCTTTCCTATCAACTGAGTATCGTCTTTGTTGCTTTCAGACTTTAACTGTTAAGACTATCAGTGTGTTTTCTTTTTGTAGATTAGTCTTCATTTTTAGTAAAGTTTATTTAAACATTTTAGTTAAATGTTATTAAACTTTTTAAAATTGTAAATAAGTAATCATTTGTAAAAATGACAAACAAAATATGGTGTTATCTCAGTACTCAAACTGTTCCCACCTCCACCAATTCGGTATGACAGAAATTCTGGAAAAAAAATTGCCTGGTACTCAATTCAACAAACTTGACTTGCTATAACAAATTTTCAATTAATAACATGTTTTTATTTTTATTTTGTCTTCCGTAAACATTTTTTATGATAAAAATAAAACAACGAAGACTTTGTTGATATTTCCGATTAACATCAACAAAAAAGCTCAGATGATGATGATATTTTGTAAAAAGAAAACATCCTTGTTTAACTAAAATTAATATTAATGCATAATACAGTAGTTTTAATTGTGATTGTTAGTTAATTATCGATTGGGAATAAATTATTGGTTGCTTTAATAAATGTATTTCTCTTGGTAATAAAAAACAATAGTACTGTATACTTTTGTTAACTTCTGGAACCTAACCCTATGTTTTGTATTAGTCGTTTGTTTCGTATAGCACGGCACTTTTTTGGAACGTAACTATCAGGTTATACGAGGGATAACTTGATATTGATAACATGATATTAAGTAAGATGTATACTATATTATGTTATATTGATATGCAGTTTTTAATGTTTTAGTGACTGTCAAAAAAATGAAATATGTGATACTGATGAGGATTATTGAATGGAAATGCATTTATCACAATAAAGACATTGAAGAAAAGTAAATTAGTTTTTATTTGGTTATTCTTTTCTCTTTTTTAAAATAGTTTTAGCTCGGATAAACAGTCGGTAAAGAAGTTTTGGAAAACATATTTTGGTTTTAACAACTAACTATCTTTTAGATATTTATCTTCAAAATATTATGCAACTGGATTCGTGCGCCTGGCATTGCTCGGGCTTTTGAGGGAGTAGTGATTGGTGAGGTCAAGTTGAGAGAGGGTGATAACACTATGGTCTTAATAACTAACATGTACAGTACATTTATTGACCTCGGTATTTACAATAAATAAACTGCAAAACACAAAAATTGCTTGGGCTAAAGTTAACAGGGGATGAGACCACAACATTTTTGTCCCACAGTCTTAACAATATACTTTGCCACCTCAATCATTGCCCCTTTCTCAAATCTCTCTTCAGCTACGTTGTCTACAGCAGAGATGGGCAACCTTTTTCTACGTAACAGCTGCATTTAATACTTTTGAACTGACGCCGGATGCATACAAGAAAAAAAGAGAAAACAAAATCGAGTAAATCACAATTATTTATTCATATATGATTATAAATTAACGTAAGTATACTTAATTTGACTTCTGTCACTGTTGTGATTGAAATATATCCAAAATATTTGGTCAAATATTAGTCACTGCTGGTTTAAATTAGTTTTTATGCGAGTCTGTTAGCTGATTTCTTGTTTTTTTTAACTAAATTTTTACTAAGTAATAGAAAATTACATTAAAATTTTTGCTGCATACTTTCTTAAGTTTGGAAATTGTTATATTTATTAATACTTTGTGCATCCTGCATCGCACAAAATATTAATGCAAGCCACATGCAGCCTGGGGTCTACAGGTTAATAAGCTGAAAAGTACATATATAGATATTTCAGTGCAATACTATGTCTCTGGTAAACTTCATGTTTGTGCATACAGACATGAAATCTTACTGTTAAAATGTTGACTGTATGCTAATTTTGACTGCAACTTTATTTTTGTCTATAGAACCTCTGTACCTGATAATGAAATTGTAAATAAACACATTGAAAACTGTGAATACTGTACAGCATTGTAAACATGAAATTAAAAAATTTTTTCTTACTGTTTAAATTCATTAACTGTTTGTAGTCATGATTTTAGGGCATGCATTACATTCGCAAGCTAACTTTTTTGGGTTTTGACATCTCAAAAATTCAGAGAAAACAGTGTATGCATGTGTGTATCGATAAAGATGTATAGTATTATATTTGTAATGATCATTAATATGAAATGCCAGATTTATTTGTTTATTTATGCAAAGTTCACAGCTTTTGTTTTAAATTCCACGACTTTCCCTGACCAACTTTGTATAAATTCAGTGACCATCACATCTCTTACAGTACAGCACATTGACAAAATAAAACAGCATATGACTTCCTATGCAAATATGCTATTGCTTCTTTAACTTTTTAATTAGTCATTTTTTCTTTTAGTTTTACTGCGATTTGAATGAAGTCTACTAGCTAAATTAATTAAGGATAAATGTAAAATTATAGCAGAAAAAGAAAAAGTGTTGTACCTGGCCCACTTATACTTTGATAAACAGTGTGATGCAATAATTCTACACTAACAACTGAGTAAAATTAAAAACATAGCCAACAAAATAGCATGTGCAATCAGGAGGAAACTGGACAAAATCTTCTATTGGCTACAGGATACCTTCTGCTAAAAGCAAATCATTTTTTCTAATTAATGGTTATATAATTTTTTGATTGTTGAATAATTAAAATTAAAAATAAAATGTTTTATTAAATTAAAATAGTTTATCCTGTTGTTGATCCACAACCATAAATCTATGTGACTTTGAAAATAAATAAAAAACCATTATTTATAATTCATTAACAAATCCTGTATAATCCACATACAAAAGTAAATATTTATTAAATTTATCTCTCAATAAATTTCCTGAACTTTAGAAAATATTAATAAACTGGGAGAAAAAATCTGAAAGTGTTTTGTTACACAATCAAAATTATTTATCATTTTTTGTACTTTGTTATCATATTTTTTTTAATCAGTTTATTAACATCTGCCCTCAAATTGAGTGTGTAAATGGTAATTGTTAGAGATTCACATAGAGTTAAAATATTTTTAAAACATTTTAATCAATGTTAGATTATTAAGAGTATTACAGACTTTTCTCTAAAATTCATAATACTGCATAATTAATACAGCTGTATTAAAATGACAATTGATATAACTGTATATTACATTTGGGACTTAGTTTGATCACCTGGCATTTTGCAATGTAAGGTGATCAAACATATTATAAAATACACTACTACAAAAGCATGAATGCATTTTATAATTCTTCACATAAACAATTGATACTAGTTTTTAACATTAATCTGTACTATCGGTAAAAGAAGTAAATGTCTGTAATAATTGTATAAACATTAAACAAAATTTTTAAAAATATACAAAGCGATTACAATTTATAAGGTCTTAATTTTGAGTGATTTTAAAATACAATCATATAATACAACAGAATAAATCTTATGTGTAATATAACATTCTATTGCATTGTAAAACTAAGTAATTGATTTAATAAGTAAGTTTTACGTGTAATAAGACTTACTTATTAAATCTAAAATTTCTAAAAAAATATAAAAATTACAATTAAATTTTGGCTGACAATATTTCTATCAGAATGTACATAAATAAAATAAATCAAAGCTACAAAATTGTCTTTGTGTTCCATTTAATGACAAAACAAAGATAATTTTGAGGCTTCGATATATATTTTGATTTAAAACTTAAAATTAACTCATTTGATATGGTGTGCAAAGTTTAAAGAACTGCTTATGAACTTCATCTTTACATATAGTATCAAAAAATCAAAATTGATGAAAACCACTTGTGCATTTTTTACATTTCTACTATACACACCCCATACATTAAGTCAACATTTAACGATAATAGTTTTAATATTCTTATTATCAACAATGCATCTTTATTTAAATTGTGAAAGAAAAACTGGAAGAACTACTTGTCTTTACGTACAAAATACCCTAATCACGTGCATTGACCTTGTGTTTCTCAAACTTCAGCTTCTGTTAGACCTGTTTAATAAATTTTAATGTGCCATTTATCTAATTTGCAGAGTTTGCCATCAATATATTTGCCTAGAGTCGCAGGAATCCGTGGACACACACTGTTGAGAAATCTGCTATCCGAATTATCTCGACCACCCAGACGTCAAAATTTCTACTATTCAATGATAAACACCGTGCAAAAATTTTTAGTGTTTTCGGACATTGCTTTCGATGATGTCAAATAAAGAAAGCAGTTAAATATCTCAGAACGAATAGATTTATGGGAGAAGGCAATGCAACACCTGGAAATCTTGCAAGATGGGATGCATCCCAGGAAGACTTTCTACAGGAAACTAACTCTATTTAGGCATTAGATTTGTGAAAAATAATCTGAAAAACTTTATGTGGCCAGCCTATTGGTGAGATGCAAACCTGCAACCAACTACCAGTGTTTTATCCACTAAGACAATGATGGGGCCAAGCACATAAGAAAGCCAGTATTAATTACCGTCACCCAGACCCAACTTGTGTTATTTTAAAATTTCAGGGTAATTTAACAAAACATTATAATGTTTTAATGAAATTATTTAAATTATAAATGTATGTAATTTTTCTTATTAACTTTAGTTAAAATAATTTAACTTAAATAATGTAAAGAAGTGTTTTAGAAGTTAAGACAAAATGGTCAAGGTGGGAAAATAATTTCAATATGAAAATTTTCCTTTTTTACAACATTTTTTGGTGTTCATTACTCAAAGTTCATCGTTAACCGAAATTTTTGAACCTTATAAAAATTAATTTTGAGGACGTCACCATAAGCAAATTTTGTATTTTTGGATGTCAAAATGTCCATTAATTACTATCTGTGCTAAAAATAAAAATAATCATTTATGGCACCGAATTCAATTTTATTTCTATTAATCGACATATTGCATCAAGTTTATAATTGTATAAGCTATCCTACGATGATGAAAATGTGTGCTTTTAATCTAAAGTATTTATGTTAATTTATCAGTTTGGTGTTGCATGGCAAATTGTATGGTAGGCAAATTAAATCATACTTATATGTATGATTTAATTTGAATTTTTCAAATTATGTAGTAACTAGCAGATAAGCCCAGCGATGCTCGGACAAAAAGTAACACTAGCGAAGATTAAGATTATTACATTTCAGCCAATCTTACCCATTTTCACAGAATGCAAGAATTACGTACCCGTTTCCAGACTAATTAAAAAATGTTTAGATGGGTCTAAACCTATGTTTGATTTTCCACAAAAACACAAAAAAATCGCATCTGCACCTGTAAATCTTGCATGTTGCTTTCTCTTAACACTTCCATTGTTACTTAACACTTTTATTTTTAACACTTCCATTGTTGAAGCCTTAATCCTGTCACGTTTCCACTGTGTACCAAATTTCGACTTTAAACTCCTAACCGTTTGGGCTCTGCGCCGTTTATCATCATCAACCCGTCTCAATTATATATATAGATAATTATTAATTGGTTCATATATTGTGGTTTAATTTTGTGTGCAATAATTTTTGGGGAAATTTTAAATCCTGAAAATATTCTGCATGCATTTTCGTAAGTTGCATTGTACCACATTACTTCTTGCTGCCTGCGTATGGCTACATTTGGACCACCTTACTGTGAGCAAAAAAAATCAGAAAAGCAGCCAAGGAGGAAAATTCTCTGACGTTTTTTGTCAAATTCCCTGATTTTCCATGACTTTTTCCAAATACAGTAGAACCTCGAAAACTCGGCACTCCGGATAACTCGGCCACACCCTGGCAGGGCAAAAAAATCCTTAGTTAATTAATTTTCATTATAGACAGCTTTATAAAAGTATAAAAGCTCTCAAAGTATTTTTCTGAGGTCTGTCTTATCAGGTAAATTACTGTACACAGTGTATTCATTAATTTTCATTTTCATGTAGTAAAGGCTCTATGCCTTCATAAAGGACGTACTTTTCCTTTGTTTAAGGGTATTTGGGCAGTTTATTCTCTGTTATATTCTCAAGTAAACAATACATACAAGTACAGTACAGTATTTTCTGAGGAAACACTCGTACTTATTTTTTTTAACCCCATTCCCAATAACCCGGCATTTTCACAAACTCGGCCACCCTTCGGTACACATTAGGCCGAGTTTTCGAGGTTCTACTGTACTAATGAAAATCCCTGATTTTATCTGACTTTCCACATGTGTAGGAACTCTATAACACAATAATAAATTGTTACAGCACCGAACCAAACATCTGGCAAGATTTTGACTGGAATAACTAACTCTAAATTTCTGGATTCACCAGTTCCTAACAATAACAATAAATTAATTGTTACTGTTAGTTTGTTAAATGATTTGTTTATAAATTGTTAAATAATTTATTGTTGGATTAAATTGTATACCATAATAATAGCTATCAGCATTTCTATTTTGTAAATTTATATTATTTTTATTAAATACTTTGTTCATAAAAGTATCAATAACAATTATTGAATTAATGTTATTTTTAAAAGCATTGGAATAAAAACATTTACTTAGCATTTTACAAATGCAAATTATACTTTTAAATTAGATAACAACAAGAACTATCTAAAGTGCAAAGGCTATCACGATAAACTATCGAGTGGGAAAATAACCAACCTTTGTGCAATGCGAAACGTTTCTCCTAATCAGCAAAGAGTTTCACATCATAGAGGCTATCTGGAAAAAAATCAAATTATTATTTATTTATAATTGAAAGTAAATAGTTATTATAAAAATGACAAGAAAATTCATAAACTAGAAGAAAATATTTAATTTTGAAAATTAAAACACTATTTTGAATATGTCATTGGAAAGAATTCTAGGTCAAATGTACACAAATAATTTAAAAAATAAATTATCCAGCTATTTTTAGTGTCCACCATCAAGTTATACATTTTTCACCCGATAAACGGCTAACTGAAAATAGCTGAAATCATTTTTTAAAACTTTCTTTCTGGATATTACATTCAAATAATGTCAAACCATTAATAAAATTTTTCAGAGATTTAATTACACTACCACTGTAATAAAATTAAACCATCTGGCATGCTAAAAGTTCACGGAATCTAAACAATCGTAATAAAGATAAATATTTTTATGCAGTCGCTCGACACTTAGACAACAAATAAAATTACTTTGATTTTCTTTTTGCCTTCGACATTTTATCTCATCGTCGGAAGAGTCCTCGCCTGGAAAATACGTAAAAAATTTCCGAGCGGACCACGGTTTGGATGAGTTTTTTGGAAAGTGCATCGAGGATATAAGAAAAGTTCCAATGTCCGGACGATGGAGGCATCCCGAATAAAAATTTGTCAAATCTGTGTTTCCGTCCGTCGTACTTACTCCGAACAGCTCTCTCCATAGAAGGAACAGAAAAAAAAGAAAATTAACAGAAAGTGCAGTGAGATATTCCCCTCAATTAGCATTCATACTTTACACAAACTATTTGAATAATGTAAATAATTCTAAAACTGAATTAAATGTAGCATTTCCATTATATTACTTTTTATTTTGGGAGGCAATTTATAAGATATGCATTATCTAAAAATATTTATTCCAGTAATTCAAAAACCGATGCCAATAAAACACTATCGATTTTGATGAAGTTCCAGCCAGTGGATCGGAAAGTTATTTTAATTCATTCACAATCATACTTCACAATTTGAAAATTACTTATATTTTTTACGGAATTTACTATTTAGTTTTAACGAGAGATAAACGACACGGGTTAAAACTGGGTAAATCACGAATTTTAAGTTTTTACTTAGCAGACGAAGAAAAATCTAACCTTTCGACAAAGTCACATATTTACTCCAACTCCACTTTTCGGTTATAAATTTTTTCAAAATATACTTTATCGAAATTTGAACGTCGACCGTATCTTTATAAGAAAAGAATTAAGATATAATCCGCCCGGCACCGGCGATGCGGGAAGGGCAGAATTACTTCTCCGGAAACCGAAACCGTCTAAATATCCGGCAAAGGATGCGGAGAGACAAAACTTTCGTCGGTGACCGGGACGAACAGAGAGACCTTCCCAGTCCCCGACGAAAGTCTGTCTCTCCGAAATAGACGGTATTTTAAGACGACAGAAGGTCCGTCGTCTTAAAATGCCGTCTATTCCGGTCGGTCAAAGATTAAAAGTTTTTCACGCGTGCACATTTACAAACACGGTTAGATTCAATTAATTAAGAGTCGGTACTAACCGGTAAGCAGAAAATATCTGTATGTATATACGTAAAAGGTCACTCTAAGTTTCTTTATCCGAATTAAATTGCGTCGGTCACGATCGACGCAGAATTTCCAATAATTAGTCTAATTTTTCAATTCTATTTCCCGAATTCCAGTTTTACGAACGAAGGGCGGTTTTTAACTCGGCCGGTCACACGTTTCGAAGCGGGACGAAGAGGAGGTCCCCCGAACGCATTCCGAACTTCCCTCCGAATTTTCGACCGCGGACCAAAAACGAGGCAAAAACTAAGGCCGTCGACGAACCGCGGGGATTCGGAACGGACGATTCTCTCTCCGACGCCGACTCGAGAGGACGTCTTCGACGTTCCGTCGAGACGGACGACGTAAATTTTTAAGTTTTGCCAAACTGTCGAAGTGTCACGACGAAGCAAAGCGATTAGATAACTCTCGTCGTCTATATTTATCTAAGTTTTTTAACGAGCAAATATATAAAAAAACGTTAAACAAATACGAAAAGTTATCAAAAATATAACGATAATGTAACTTCCTTCCACAACGAAAATTGTAAAATAAAACAAGGAAGAAAATTAGAAGATCAGAGTTTTTATTAACAGATCGTCATTTCCATTAATTCCGAGTACAAACGTAATTGGAACATTTCATAAATTAGCCCATTTTTTTAATTTCCAAAGCGCAGAACAAAACAGACACACATAGATGCTGGTGTGACAGATGTGCAGGGACCAGATGCGTTAACACGTGTCGGCCAGGAGCGTGAGGGGTGCATCCGCGTTTGTTTTTAATTAAACGAAACACGGATCAATTTACGACCGAGTAATAAAGCGAGTATTAACGTAGGGAGACTCGAATCGCTCCGCGGATCCAATTTTTGATGCCAATTAAATAGCATAAACTCGGAAATTTACAGAAAACGATTTTAATTTAAGCGAAATGTTTGGTAAGGCGTAGAATTACCACTACAACGGTACGTAAATGCGTTACGTCACAGCGGAAACGAAAACGCGATACGGCCGGGAGGACGATAATAGTGTCGATAAGCCTTTATCGCCCGTATTTAATGTTAACGCAACAAGAGAATTCGTCGTTTTATCGGAGAAACCGACGGTTTTCCGGGCCTTCGATTTAACGCCGCCGAAGTAAATTCGTTTCTATAAACCGGCGAAATAATTAGAAAGGGAAGAAGAAAGGGCGCGACGTCGACGCCCCTTTCTTCCCCGCGTGCAAATTGTGGCCCTACGACGTTCGGCAACGCTTCCGGTCCAGAAAAATCCCGTTCTAGATCGGGTTTACCGGCCTCTTCGGCCACACTCACCGTCCAACGGCGATTCCGGAACGTCTTCCTTTCCTCTCGTCCACCATTTTAAGTCGCAATGACGTCACGTCGGTTCCTCTCTATTAAATTCTTATTAAGTGGCCCGACGAAACGACGGAAAAGGAAATTAAACCACCGGAATTACGTAATTAATTANCATTTTTTGTACTTTGTTATCATATTTCTTTTAATTAGTTCATTAACATCTGCCCTCAGACTGAGTGTGTAAATGGTAATTGTGAGAGATTCACATAGAGTTAAAATATTTTTAAAACATTTTAATCAATGTTAGGTTATTAAGAGTATTACAGACTTTTCTCTAAATTCACAATACTGCATAATTAATACAGCTGTGTTAAAATGTACAAATGACAATTGATATAACTGTATATTACATTTGGGACTTAGTTTGATCACCTGGCATTTTGCAATGTAAGGTGATCAAACATATTATAAAATGCATTATTACAATGGCATGAATGCATTTTATAATTCTTCACATAAACAATTGATACTAGTTTTTAACATTAATCTGTACTATCAGTAAAAGAAGTAAATGTCTGTAATAATTGTATAAACATTAAACAAAATTTTAAAAAATATACAAAGTGATTACAATTTATAAGGTCTGATTTTGAGTGATTTTAAAATACAGTAGATCCCCCTATAAGACGGTAGATACGTTCCGTTCTTTATGAATCAATTTTGTAGGAATCATAGTTTATGGACTACGGCTGTTTGAAAGGTTTTCTTTCATAAAATTAATCGATTCTAGACTAATTCGACTCAACATTTCCAAAATACGTATATTTTTTTGAAAATAATCCGTATAAACTACGTTATAAACAAAAAATTGTAGGATTGCTTACCGAGTGTGTACCGTTC